TTGGGCAATGTTAAGACCATAGTTCCCACCCACATTGCCCTAATGCATACCTTATTTTAGCCGTAACTTCTACTAAATTAAGAGATGATTAAAAGGTACCTTTGATTAGCCACCACACTAACCAAACTAGCCCTAGGTGTATTATTTCTTTTGAGGAATGTTTTCTTTGAACAGGTGTAAGTTGGGGGTAGGGAATTGGAGAATTTTAGTATGGCAGTGCCATGGCTCGAATTTTGGTTATTATTAAGATATTAAGTAAATCTAACAACCAATGAAATTTGATGTTTTAACGAATGTTTTTAAAAAATAATGAATCCAAACAATCTTCCATGTGACCAAGTGGTGGCTATGATGCCCATTGGGCAATAGGTGAAATGCACATTGATCATGAGTTTAACTCTCTCAAGAAACAGATATTAACTAATTTAACCTAGAATTTCTTACTGTAAAAAAAAAATAATGAATACAATAATCAATAATGCACTTAACAGCTCCATATTGAAAGAAAGAAAATAACTAAAATTTGATGATAAAAGTGACAAGGGAACCTCACTTTTGAGAAAAGAGGAGATAATTTTTTTACTTAGTTACCAAAAAAAAGTGGAAAAAAGAGGAGAAGAAAATCCTTTATTTTTTGCTTTTATTCCTTCCTTCATCCAGATGAGAAAAGGGTTGCCCTTCCCTTTGTTTCCTTGAAACTATGCACACTTCAATTTTTCTCTCTTGCCTAATGAAATTGTGCCAAGAATCCACCAGTTCAAATATAATCTTCTAATCTTATATTATTTTTTTAAAATTAAAAATAAAAATTAACAGTTTATCCAAAGTATTGTCCAATATCCCATAAAAAAAATTCATTTTAACAACATAAAACAAAGATGAAATTATTATCATATTTTAAATAGTTAATGTCATACTCTTTTATAATAATTATTCATTATATCTTTATACAATATTTTTTTTCAAAATTTAATAATTTTTTATTTCTTAATAAATAAAAAAATATAATAATCAATTAAAATAAAAAAAAAATGACAATAACATCACACTCATGAACCAAGCAATAGATGGAATGAAATTATTGTCATTAGCAATCAAGGCTATACAGCTCATTTAACTTACAATGATCATCATTATAGACGTTTCAACTTATGCTGAGTTTATGTAATGTCTTTTATGACATCTGCAATTATACATCATGATTCTGTAAATGAAATATATAGTAAGTAAGCATAGAAAAAAAAAATTATAGTAAATAAAAGGAAACATTCTCCACCTTCGACGTTGTGATACTGAGCTTGCAGCTGCAGTTCCAGGGGGAAACTCAACTCAAAAGATTTCACGCTTGGTATCAGATCATTCAAGAATTCTTGTGGCATTTTCGTATTTGATTCAAGAACCAAAAACCAACTCTTTTAAAGAGCTCATAGGTGAGCTGTATCCATATACGACAGTGTCTCTCCAAAAAGCCATTCCTGGAAGAGAGAAATGAATTAGGATATGCACAAGTTGATTTTCATTTCTTCTCTCCTTCCTTTAACTAATAGAACCATAAGAGAGGACAGGTGGGTGTTGTAGGATAATAAGGTCACAGAATGACTACCTATCCATGAAAATAAACCAACTGTTGCTGCCAAGAAGAATTCCCTGCTGATAGCGTTAAACCTAGAATGACAGACAGCATTTTGTCTGGAATTAGAAATTGATGAAAAAGGATACAAAAGTAACAGAAAATGATCTTGAAAATACTAAGCAGAGATCTTGTACCAATACAAGCATACGAGATTCCCATAACCATAAAAGAGAGACGCCCAAGTTGAACCAGTGAACCTGCAATGACAGTTAATTCAACAACTAGGTAGAATAACAAATGACATTGTAGCACAAAAGCTTAACAAGAGAGATGGAATAAGAGAATCAAACAATTACAGACTTCAAAGATTGGACACTGAAGCTAAAGAGTTAGTTCACATACAAGCTAATCAAACATTATGTAAGCCAGACACTTGTTATTGAAAATATTATGTTCATGTTCCCTCACATTATTAACATGAATATAATGAATCTGCTACATTCTATCAGCTGTTTAATAGTTCTGGCTTCCACGCACAAGCAAATTTGGATACTATCCCTGATACATTCAAATTTTGGAACATCTAGACAAGTGTAGACAATTGTTAAGTGTGTGCTTGTAAAGAAAAAGAAACACTGTTAACAGAGAAAAGGATCTCACTATAATAGTGCATTACCACATAAAGTCACGAATAAAGAGAGCACGTGGGACCATTAGTACGTTCCCAATCATAGCAAGCAACATTGTGAAAGCAGATAAACCTCTGATGTTATCAGGATTCAGCAAGTTTGTCCACTGAAAGCAATTATATATCTTAGTCAGGCACACATACAAAATAATTATTGCAAAGAGCTTACAAATTTGAATTCAAATGAGTATCACCATTTGTGAAACTGGCATCCACATGAAAAGAAGTGTCGCTGTCCATCCAGAAATTCCTCCCACAAATTTGACACCTTGCTCTGACAGTCTGCCTGTACGTGCCTACAAATCATGGGACACAGAAATTCATTGCTAATTTCTCTATATTATTAGTGTAATTGTTTTGAAACATCTACATGAACCTTCAATATCAGATATACGATGTATTAATCTAATTGTTTTGAAACATACATGAATCTTCAAAACTTGTCAAAATACACAACAAAACATGCATGTTGTTTTGTCAGCTTAAAATGCATCCTTCTCCTTGTGTAATTTGGTATCTCCTTTCAAATCTTGGGATTCAATTACTGATTTAAAAAGGTGATGAATTTAGGCAGTAGTGTGCAAGAGACTAAATCCGACAATGGCTCTGAAGTTTTGTCCATCAATTTGAGTTGAATCTAAATATATTAACATAAGGAGAAGATAAAATATCACATTGGTTATATAAATCTTACCATAGAAACAGCTGCCATGGCTACAATAAAAGCCATTGCCCCAGGCAGGATACTGTTTGGGAGGTATGGTACAAAGGTAGACCACATTATCTGTGTTGAAAAAGGAGGTCAGAGTCTCAGACACTTAGAACAAAGTAAAATAAAATATTGAAGTCTCAATTAGTTAATATAAACAAACAAAAGCAGGCCAAAAAACAGATGAATAGACAAATGGGTTTCTATGTTCTGAGAATCAATTGTAGTTTAGTTTGTGGGTATGTGTAGATCAGTGCTAGTATGTATAACTAGAAAAATGGAGAGAGAATTACTTGGGGTAGGGCAGACAGTCCACCAACTGTAATAAAATCCTCCCAGCATCGCCACATTCCGGTGTTAACCATATTAAAGTAATTCATAAAATTTAAAATGAGACCAGCTGCCACAACACCCGTAGTAATGACAAAGTATGTCAGAGGCATTGCTTCTGCCATTGCAAGCTGGGCAAACACCACATATTGTGATACCACTCCTAATGTTTGCACCACAATCACCTCCTTTTCCCTCTTCTTTGTGAAGTAAGAAAGTAGAGAAAGATTTCCAAGTAAACCAGTAAACATCCCCTGCATTTACAACAACCTATTAGATTCCAAAAAAGATTTCCTCCTTTCACTTGATAAAAGAAATTCATGTATATATTAAAACATCTAATATTAAATGTTCCACAGTTGAGCATTGTGAACATTCAGCAAAGAGTGTAACAAGCACTGAACACATAGGTGCCTGTATTGAGTCAATAAATTTACAGCCTACAATTACATCTATATAAAAGGAAACTCAAGACAACCAAAAGCAAGCTCAACCAAGCATGTTAATAACAAAAGGGATCCATAGCAGAATGAAAACAAGTATAAAACTCAATGTCTTGTTCATTTATCTATTTAATTTTCACAGCAAGTTTCTCAGCAACCAACATCAATGAAATTTCACCATTCCCTTTGAGAATTGACTTCTGCAATCTAGTGCACACTCTGCTCCTTAAGCACAAGGCAAGGACCCAAGATATTTTAGAATAACTTGTTTACTAAAACTGACAAAAGTGAAAATTGGAACGTACATTCAAAAACAGAACGAAAAAAACACATACAGTCCGACACACACACACACACACACTCATAAAAGATGCAGAAAATGCTGTTACCAGAGGCTATAAGAATCTACTAAAATGCTTTACCAGCCATGGTACAGCTAAAAGAGCAGTCTTATTTCCTGCCAATAAATTACGGGCATTAAGGATGATCTGAGGTAGTTGCATCAACAGAAAGGGTATATTTGACGCCCCAGAAAATATTGCTGTCCATGAATCCCATTGCTCAAAGCTCTTACTATTCTTCAAGTTCACCGATCCCTTTTACAATCCATACACACAGAAATCATTAAGGATTGTCATTATGTTTGATTCTATTTGTATTAGGTCCCTACATTAAAAATAAAAAAACAGCATGAATTAAATTTAAAATTGAACTACAGAGTTCAAACTCTCTTTCTTTTTTTCTTTCTTTTTTTCTTCCTATGCAAATTCTTCATTAAAAAAGAAAATGGGAATAAAGAAAAATTAAATAGAAAAATAAAAACATTGAAAGAACTACTCAAATTAGAAACAGTGTACCAAAATCTAGACGTTCATGCTTAAGCATATTTGGTAAGCCAGAAATCTATAATCAAAATGATTATTCAATTTAATAGCAAATTTTTTTTTTAAAAAAAAAGGTATTAAATTAACTCATAATAGAGAACATTTGACAAAAAAAGGGAATTTATAGCTTCAATTTACGTTACCTATTTTTGAAAATTAAAAATAAAACAAAGCATTAATGGAGATTCCCAGTATGAAGAGAATTAACTAACAGTGATATACCTTGTGAAGAGGGTGAGGCACGTCGGAGTCGAGAGCAGGAGGCGGGGTGAGGCGGCGGTGGAGCGAAGCGAGTGAGTACTGAGTCAGAGACAACCCATTGGCGTTGCTGTTGGGGTTGTTGCCAGTACTCGTCAGCGACAGGGAGAGGAACCTAGATGGAAATGGAGGAGAAGGGCAGGGGGAGTTGGGGAAGAGCAAAGAATGGCGGTGGGTGGAGGAGAGCTTGCTAGCTAGAGGGACAGCCATGGAAACCGAAAGGGATCGGAAACTGGAATTCAGGGCGACGGAAAAGGGGAGCGGAAGTTGAGCAGAGCTTGGGTAGTGGTAAAAAAAAATGTGAAAATTGGGTGGTGTTGCTGTGTGAGTATGTAGAGGTGACACGTGGAAGAATGTGATCTGACACGTGAAGATGTTTAATGCGGCGTCACATGAAAGTACGGGAACTACCGAATTGATCGGATCTCGTAATAGCTCAGTCCGTTTTCCATACATTGAAGATAAGTTTGGTTTCACAGTTTCTTAGGAAAAAATATCCGGAGAAGGCGAGAAGATAAGCAATTTTTTTTTTTTT